TTTTTTAAAAAGTTTATTTTGAGAGAGAGAGAGTGAGAGAATCCCAAGTAGGCTCCATGCTGTCAGCGCAGAGCCCAATGTGTGGCTTGATCCTATGAACTGTGAGATCATAACCTGAGCCAAAATCAAGAGTCAGATGCTTAACCAACTGAGCTACCCATGCACCCCTAAAATTATAATTTTAGCCCTTGCTTTGTTCCAAATAAGTTGCTTTTTCCATTTAATATTACTTTTAGAAAAAAAAAAGGTATAGATAATTTGTTTTTAAAAACAAAATTTAGAGGGTGGTATAGTGGAATTAGCTACTATTCTGTGGTATTGTCAGTTACCTCTGCTTTGTGGGTTGTGCACAGAAAAATTAATGCTGACAATGATATTTGTGTTTTACTAAAATGTATAATCTATCCAGGCTGGGACATAGAAAAATTTTGCACATTACCTTTAATGCCTTGCTCAACAAGATATACCAGTTTCACTGATAAGAGAGATTCAGATTAAATAGCTTCCCAAAAGTCCCACAGAGGCAGAACAGTGATTGGAATTTTGTGCTAGTTGGTGCCATATCCTATTACATTAGCCAGTCTGCCATGTTCCCTATCCAAGTTCAATTTATTCACTTGTTCACTTAATAAGAACCTGGGAAAAAAGTGTTTAACCTTTCTGGCCTTCTGTTTGCTTTTCTGTAATTTCCATATACATTGTTAGATTGGTTTGCTCATGTTCCTAAAATTCAACGTGTGTGCAGGAAACTGCTAGGAAGAGTGTAATTTAGCATATAAATTAATACCAGTTCTGCAGAGAATGTTAGGGGAGTTTGGAGGTAGCACATGAGAGAGAAGTTAGGTGACCGGTGAAGATGCCAGAGAGCAAGCATTCGAGCTGGGCGTCGAGCAGTGGGGAGGATTTCAATAGGCAGCAAGGAAAACAAGGAAAGCAAGGAAGCAAGGAAAGCCTTCCAGGTGGCCTGCATGGCCTGAGCAAGGGCACAGAGGATGGAAAATGTGTTAGGTGCTTCTAAGTAGGAGGTTATTGCAAGCCGTGCTGTGAGGCCACATTTGTGGACGCTGTTGAGAAGGCTGTGATGTGTGTAAGTTTAAGAATTCTTCCATATCTAGTGGTCTAAATAATACTCATTCTAATTTTTTTTTTTCAACGTTTATTTATTTTTGGGACAGAGAGAGACAGAGCATGAATGGGGGAGGGGCAGAGAGAGAGGGAGACACAGAATCGGAAACAGGCTCCAGGCTCTGAGCCATCAGCCCAGAGCCCGACGTGGGGCTCGAACTCACGGACCGCGAGATTGTGACCTGGCTGAAGTCGGATGCTTAACCGACTGCACCACCCAGGCGCCCCAATAATACTCATTCTAAATGATTATTTATTAAATTTGCACAGGGTATGAAGCTCTGAGCTTTCTGTTATGGTGCCGCATCCTTCGCTTGGGGATGCATCCTTCACTTCCCACAGTTATGTATTCATTATCTACATGTAATGGAACCTAGTGCAACGTAAACCCAAATGTATATTGTATTAGCTTCCTGAGACTGTTGGAATAAATTACCACAAACTTGGTGGCTTATAACAGCAGGAATTTATTCTCTCACAGTTCTGGAGGCCAGAAGTCTGAAATCCATGCTCCCTTTGGTGGTCTAGAGGAAAATCTGTTCTTTGAGTAGCTTCTGGTGGCTGATGGCATTCCTTGGCTTGTGGCCACGCCGCTCCAACCTCTGCCTCTTGTCTTCACATCACTTTCTCTTCTATGTGTTTATTTTACCTCTTCTGTTTGTGAAATCTCCCTCTGTTTCCCTTCATAAGGACAATTGTGATGGTACCCAGATAGTCCAGAGTTATTTCCTCATTGCAGAATCCTTAATCACATCTGCAAAGACCCTTTCTCCAAATAAGGTACTCTTTACAAGTTCCAGGGGTTAGGCCTTGGTATCTGTGGGTGGCCATCATTCATTCCACTCCATACATCTACCACGGAAATCACATGGAGTGATCTGAACATTTTCTCTCTCTTACTGTATTATCCTCAGCAATACTCATTAAGCAGTGTGGATACCACCTGGAAAGTCACCGTTGGCCAAGAGCAATGTGCAATGTGCTTATTCACTCAGGCATTTCACAACTATGCTCGTTGCTGGAGAGCAAGGTTGAACAGAAGCTTCCAGACAGCAGGATGAGAGCAGTGGTTGGAACAGTGGGAATTGAGGAAAGTAAGAACAGTGCCTCACTCAGCCATGGTTGAGTAGGGGAGTCTATTTAGAGGAGGAGAGGTCCAATCTAGACCTGAGGAATACATAGGAGTTCCCCCGAGGAGTGGAGGAGGGGGGTGGGAATTCCAGACAGAGAAAACTTTTGCAAATTTCTAGAGGTCCAAGTGAGAGATTGGTAATAGGGATAGAGGTGAAAGGATGGATTCAGAGGCTGTTGAGAAGGTCTCCTGGCAGGGATTTGGGATTGAGGGGCTGTTGGGAGCAGATGAGGGAAGGGCTTGGGGATTCCTGTCTGACTGGGACAGCCAAGTTCATTCAATGAGACAGAAGGCACTGGAGGAAAAGGCTGCTTTGTGGGGCTGGGGTGGGTGGAGACAAGATGATGAGTCTGGTTTGGGAGAGTTGTTTATTCCCTGATCCGTTTCTCTCTCCACCCCCACTCCCCCTTTTATACATTAAAAACCACCACAGCCAAAGATAAGGTGGTATCCTTTGCCAAGTTAGCAGTTTTCTTTGTTATTTACTCTCACTCAGAACCATGGACCACTGCCATGAAATGATTCATATGTAAATTATTTGGAGTTAGAATCCTAATCACTTAACATGAATAATGGTAGATGGCTGAATAATGTAAGTTCACTGCAGTTCAAGATAAAAGTGACGTTCATATTGCATTCAGAGATTTTTTTTTCTGACAAATGTAATCTATAGAGTTTACATATTAGAAACAAAGATTACATGTGGGTTGCCTAAGAAATAGGAAGATGACATTTGGAAAGATTTTTATGGACTACTTTTGTTTTGCTTCCGATAATGATTAGTTTAAAAAGTGGATTGTTCCTTCCTAGACAGTTTTACAGGCATAGTTCAGAGGTTGGAAGACAAAGGCTAACATCTCCCACATTCCAACAGAAACATTCACTGTGTGCTTAGAATACAAGCCATTGTGGAGGAGAGTACTGAAGCTGAGATAACACACAGTGGTGGAGAAAATGTTGCAGGACCTGCTCAGTCTTTCCAGTGTAACACTGCCGGTGGTCCTGGGGGAGGTTCCATGATGCAGAAAGTTCCCAAGAAGACTTTCTCTTGAGCCCTTTATTGAAAAAGATAACTTTTGAAAGGTGTAGTCTCCTTAGGTGGTAGACATCTTGTTTTAACTCCAGTTTGAGAGAGCTCCTGGGGTACTGGTAATGGGGATTACTTTACATATGTCACTCTAAATTAGCATCACTAACAGAGCCTCTGAATAGAGGTAAATTTACAGACTCTTCCAACTTCAGAGGAGAACTGAAGTGATAGATCCATTTAGCCTGAAAACAAAATGCCTCTTTTACTGCGGTGGTAGTAACTCCTGTCATCTTGGCTTCATGTAGAGTGAATTAAGTGCATTTGCTCGCCTTTGCATGTCACAAAAGTACATCTAACTCTGCTTGTCAGTGCAATAAAAGACAAGCCTGGCACAGATGATCCAGAGGCCTCTAAGTAAGTGAAGAAATGTGGAGGGTTTGCTGAGTCTTTGTTTCTGTGTCCACAAGGAGTTGGCTGAGGGACCAGGGCACTGTCTGCTGCTTTGTGCTGTGGCTCTGTAACTTAGACATAGGAGTTTGGAAACAGGTAGGTGGCCCTGTCCCCAGCCCTCCAGCCATGGTGCGCTAGGGTCTGAGAACCGCCGCTCTTCCCGGAGATTTGGGAGCATTTGCTGAGTCTCAGGCTGGGCATAGACTTCCCACCCCTGCTCATTAAGGGGTATAGATTTTCCTCCCTGCACAAAGTCTAGTGTGGTTCTGAGTTACACCGCAACTCAGTGTAATACACCTCTAGTTTCTATCTTTTCAAGGAATCAAGTATTTTCAGCTTTGCAGCTGTCATTTTCACTTTGAAAAATTCTTTTTACTGAAGGATTCCTCTTTAAAAGGTTAGATATTGTGGAGCAGCTGGGTGGCTCAGTGGGTTGAGTGTCCGACTCTTGATCTCAGCTCAGGTCTTGATCTCAGGGTTGTGAGTTCAAGCCCCACCTTGGGCTCTGCACTGTGCATGAAGTCTACTTAAAATAATAATAATAATTTAAAAAAACAAGGTGATGTTGTGTAGCACAAAAAATGTGAGTTTGGATGTCAGAAAGCTAGGTTTGCATTTACCTCAAAAGGCTGTTCTAAGGATAAAGTGTTAAGACATTACACAAGTACTTCGCAAAGCGACTGACAAATAGTGACTAGATTCCTAGTAAATGTTGCTTCTTTTCCTACTTCTGTTTAGCATTTGCACTGTCATTTGCCAACACGGACTGAGTGATTACTTGGACAAGCAGGGGGCATTCAATGCTCAGGAAACGCTCCACATGTGTGGGAGCTAGCACAGATATTCTGTGGATGCTATTCTTTTGTTATAATGTGTACTTCATCTATTGTCAGAGTATTTGAGGTGGCTTAGAGTAAAATGATATGTACACATGGATGCATGAAGATAAGACAAGAACCTAAATGATATCTTGACCTAGAGATAATTCTCTTACTGCAGTGAACACTAAATTTGGTTCTGAGATTCATGATAGCAAAGGCAAAAGGGACGATATGAGGGACATACACACACATATGGGTATATACATATGTGTGCATGTAGGTAGCAAATGATATCTCTTAAACAGTAAGCTTTAGGTATAAGTTACATTTGAAAACCTAGAATGTGTCAGAGGACAGTTAGTTAATTTCACAGAGCGTATCCTAAATTCAAAGTAATTCATTATTATAGCTACTGAGGATCAACAAATGTGATATTATTGAAATATTTTCATGTCTCATAATAAAGTAGAGCAATAGTTATACATGATTCATGGTTGGTATATCGAGAATAATTCCTTAATGCTGTGGGTAAACATTTTTGCTACAGTTGCTGATCCTGGCTGCATGACTCACAAGGATTGATAAGTAGTATTTTCAGGCAAGTGGTTAGAAATAAAATGAGAACCGTGGTCCCTATGGTACTCTGTTTTCTGATTTCTGAAATACAAGATAATAAGGAACATCCTTCTGGGGAATGATTCTATATCCAGCCATAGAGGAAAAACTTTTTTTTTCCCCTTTGTAAATTTCAACATGAAACTCAAATTCATATTAGTAATGGTTTAAAAACAACAAAAAATTTAATGCTCAAGTTGTATTCCATACACATGCAAATTTCCTTGTATACTTGATCTTAATTTTGAGTGTTACATTCACATTAAAAAAGTGGTTCCAGGGGCGCCTGGGTGGCTCAGTTGGTTGAGCGTCCGACTTCAGCTCAGGTCACGATCTCACGGTTTGTGAGTTTGAGCCCCGCATCAGGCTCTGGGCTGATGGCTCAGAGCCTGGAGCCTGCTTCCGATTCTGTGTCTCCCTCTCTCTCTGCCCCTCCCCCATTCATGCTCTGTCTCTCTCTGTCTCAAAAATAAATAAACATTAAAAAAAAAAAATTAAAAAAAAAAAAAGTGGTTCCATATGAATCACTAAGCACAGTGCTGTGTGCCCAGGCTGCCAGTGTCATGACCTCTTAAGGTGTTGAAGAGATAAGAAGGCAGTATGTTTTATGTGCCAGAACAACACCATTGAGCCCTTTCAAGGGACGTTTTGAAGATAATCAGTTCCTTTTTGTTGGTGACAATGACACGTCACACTGACTTGTCCTGTCCCTATGGAAACCAGCTTGGCCAGGGTTTGGTTTGCTTTGCGCCAAGGGGGATGCTTCCCGTCTGCAGACTATGCACCCTCCAGGTTATAGAAATCAGGCAGATGGTTCTGTGGTGTCTGATCCACCTCTCTAACCCCTTCCTTTGACAGGAGCACCTGATTGAGAATGAAGTGTCAATCCTGCGCAGGGTGAAACATCCAAATATCATCATGCTGGTTGAAGAGATGGAAACAGCTACTGAGCTCTTTCTGGTGATGGAATTGGTCAAAGTAAGAGGATGGAGAGATGTCAGGAGATTTCATTGGTGCCAAATCCCAAGACTTAACCATGTTCTTGAAGGACCTAATTGGAAAAAATGATCTCCTACCTTGAAACTTTCATTATTTATCATCATTTTTCATGGCACTTATGTCATTTTTTCATCTGCTCCAGGCTGATGAACCTTCTTTGTTACCTTCACAGGATTGTCACTATTGACATTTTGCTGTGTTCTTTTTTATGTGTCCATTAGGGTGGGGATCTCTTTGATGCAATTACCTCTTCAACCAAGTACACTGAGAGAGATGGCAGTGCGATGGTGTACAACCTGGCCAACGCCCTCAGGTATCTTCATGGCCTCAGCATTGTGCACAGAGACATCAAGCCAGAGAACCTCTTGGTATGTCATCTCTGCTGTTTTTATTCCAATTCATACCTCTCTCCCTTTAAAATGACATGATCTCATGCAAACAGTATCATTTCAGAGTCTATACCAATCCTGCAATAAGGGATTGAGAGAATTTAAATGAAGGGACTCAGCATGACTCAAGTTAGTGACCAGTGACCATAAAGCATTAGTGGATTTCTTGAATTGATATGTATTTCTGTATTTATTGTTTATCAGACATTAGAAAACACGTTTGCATTTACGTTTTTATTTTTAAGTTTGTTTATTTTGAGAGAGAAAGAGAAAGAAGGGGGCAGAGAGAGAGGAAGACAGAGAATCCCAAGCAGGCTCCACACTGACAGCACAGAACCTGATGTGGGGCTTGAACCCATGAACTGTGAGATCATGACTTGAGCCAAAACCAAGAGTTGGTTGCTTAATGGACTGAGCTACCCAGGCACCCCACATTTACATCTATGTTTTGATTGATGGTACTGACTAAAGAAAGGTGAGAAGGAAAATTATTTTATGAGGTAAAAATTCTGAAGAATAAATCAGAGAATGAGAAGCTTATAGGAGGCGAAAGTAGAATATGACAGTTTGTTTACATGCAGAACAGAACTTTGGGAATAATTTAGTCCATTTATCTCAGCTTTACAGGTACAGAAATTGAGACTCAGATGTTGATTTTTCTTGTTTACAAGTCTTATTTGTCCCACTGTTCTACAGAAGAAAGTCTGTGGCACTTGGAGGGCCTCATAATCTGGTCCCAGTTTACCTTTTTAGTCTCTTCTGTTACCGACCCTTCCCCACCCATCTGGCCAGAGTGACACTCACCTTCATGTCATATTTAGCACACCTCCATGGTGGCCTTAATAAACACAGCTTAGTAATTGGGCTAATCTTTGTGTCCACATTGTAGAGGAATTTTAGAGAAGCTGATAAGGGACTTCTTCACGCATTCCCCCCAGACACAAACAAGACCATTTTTTTCCCTCTATTTCTACCTTTCAGGGCTGCGTATCATCATCGTTACTGCTTAGGTGAGGTTATCTGAGTATTTTATATCATGATAATACAAACCCAAGTTTTCCTGTCCTTACTCATTAGACTGAACTTTATCAATACCATTACATATCATTGCTTATTTCCATACTGGTCTACATTTGAAATGCTACCTCTCCCAGCAACGTGGCAAATGTATGCATCTTATAAGGCACTGAGCAAAAGGCATGTCCTCTCTGACGTCATTCCTGACTCCCTGGACCGAGTCAGTCATGGCCACCTCTAGTTTTGCTCTACATGCCCTGATGTGGTGAGTTTATCATGTGCTTGTCTGTCTCCTTCTGTAGGTAAGCACCATTAAGGGCAAGGTATGTATCTTAATTATTTTTATGTCGTCAGTGCCTTGGACAGTTTCAAGGAAACACGCTGTGGTGGATGTGGAGTAAATGGTTGTTGACTAACCATTGACAGTCACTTAGTTAGCTAGCAGTGAGCACTCACTCAAACACAGGTCTTTATAACTTGTCTCATACTTGTACTATACAAATAATTGTGGAAAGGAATATGCATTGATGTTTAGGATTTAAGGCCATCCTGGGGGCTTTCTGCTAATCCAGAGTATCCGTTTTCCTCTTTTGGTAATATCATTTGATGATTTCTGAGTATCCATTTAAAAGTATATGAGCTTTTTCCTTCCTGTCTTCTGCCTTGAGGAATTGTGTTCCATGTCTAGATTTTCCTCTTAGGAAAATAAATATCCCTTCTCTGTAAAACAGGATGTATGATGGACTTCGTTTTACAATCTCTAAGGAGGACTGGGCCTCAGGATAGAAGTGAGAATATGGTGTTCTCCCCTCAAAACAGTCTTCTCACCTGTTACAGGCCCAGGGTCCTCCACCAGGTGACGAAGGTTGGCCAGGGGCTTCACAAGCAACGGTGACAGGGCTTTCTCTGGCAGCGGCCAGACATAAATGCCATGGTATTAATGAGAATGCCTCCTTTATTTCTCCCTTCTGTCCATGGCCCACCTCACACTGGTGGCTGCATGTACTGATGTTTTCTGAAAATACAGACCTGCAGGTCTCTAGGGACAATCGGTTTCTGTGGCACCAGCCTATTCTGTAGCTTTGAATGTCGAGGCCCTGTGAGGAAGGCAACTGAGGCATTAGTGAACTTGCCTGTAAACCAGGGAATGTGCATTTCCTAGCTCATTGATTCCACTCTCCCCTCCCATGTCTTCTCTCGTTTACTCACAATGTGTATACCATCTCAGAATCTGATACCTTATCCTTTTATCACGCATCAAAGGAAGAGAATATGATGGAGATGGGTGTCTCCAAGATGATGTGTCTCAGAATATAACCAAGAAATTGGAATCAACTTTGTTGTCTAGTCTCACTTGCCCTAGATGAGTCTTCACCCCTCTTCAAGACCTGCACCAGCCCCAGTGTGCTACCCAAAAGGGAAGGGAAGGAGGATATCTGGATGAGGCTAATGTGTGCTCTAAAAGGGTCAGGCTTTGGAAACCTTACCTGCACATATCTAAGTAAAATATGTACCTGCCATTGAAAATTGAACTCGACCACTCTGCAGATTCTAGATTGAGTCAGCAGGTCAGAATTGCCCTAGGATGAGAAAGTGCCATTGAGGCACTAGAAGTAAGTACACAGAGTGACCATCGGCCTCTCCCTACTCTAAAAATGGATTCCGTTTTTAAACAGCAGAGCATTCAGACATCTGATTTGCATCCCCTTCTCTGGTAGCGGTGTCATAATTTAAAACCCTGCCAGCAGAGATGTATGGGTCGGCGTGTCAGGGAGCACTGGGGTGGCCATTAATGCTGTGAGTTACAGCCTGGTGGTGCCCTGTCAGACTTAACTATGAGAGACCAGTGATAAATTCCGCTTTTCCGGGAGTTCTGGGGACCGAGGAGAGAAGAGGGTTGGTTTCTCCTATTTGAAGCCCTTCTAAATCATTATGTTGACATTTTATTTAGAGAACGTGCAGCGTTTACTCCGTATGTGGGATCTACATTCCTCACATTTTTAACTTTTGCATTCTGAGCGCAACTTTTGACAGAGCATCTCTCAGCTTGTGGTGGGGCATTTGAACACCACAGGGCTAGAATTCTCACAGTTGTGATTGCTTAAATTCACTCAGAATCTGCGTAGGGGTGCAGGCTGCAGCCGGGGTTCTGCCAGGCCTACTCTCACTTTCAGACACAGAATCTGTTGCAGGATGGTGTAGTGGGATGGTAATGGTTTTGGTTGGAATCCCCACTTGGTAGCTACTGGTAACTTGAGTTCTCTATGCCTCAGTTTCCTCATCTGAAAAACACGGGTAACAGTTACTTTCCTAATCACCCAAGGGGGTGACTCTGAGGTCCAGTGAGATAATGTGTGGGAAAATATTGGCATCTCTGGATTTCTGTGAGGATGTCAGTAACTGGGGAGAGAACTAAGCACACTGCCAGAACAGAAGGCCTTTCTCTGGGGTCCCTATGCATTTGTCCACCTCTTTTTTAAAACCATTCTCTGAAAGGAAAGCCATAAGTGTTTATATGTCAGTGTCATTCTCTTAAAGCTATGTACAAATGTGTGTCTATATGTGTAGATTTATAGATCTTTTTTCCTGCTTTGAAGAGACTCTCCAGCTAATATTTGAAATTTACTCATATTATCTTTCACATATTTGCCTCTGTGTCAAGTATTGGGGAGAAATGAATCAGATGAAATATTTTTCAGGCTTGTCTGCTCCTTATGACACTTCTCTTTAGATGTTTAGCTGAGGATAGGATGCCAGTTGCCCAGACATAATTCAGTGATTATAAACTGTTCAGTACCTTTCTGTTTATGCTTCTGCATCTGACTCTGAATTCCTTATAGGGGATATGAGAAATGGGGCTTCAGGGACTTCTGAGTGTCTACAGCAACCCTCAAGTACCCATAGGCATACCTAAATTGCATGTTGAAAGTAAACACTATTTTTCAAAAAAATGTACCTAACGAGTGTATTTTAAATTTGCAAAAACAAAATAACAATGACATTAATAAAACTTTTTTTTTTTACTTTCATGATATAGACATTTAAAATTATAATTTTGCTTAGAATGTTCTTATCACTGCAATTACTTAGGGAATTTCTGAAGTCTGGGTTTCAGTAAATGCATCATAAATTCTAACTGTAATTCTCTATATCAGATTGTTCTCGTTAATGTTTACATTAAACATAATGGATGGAAGGTCGTCCTTAGACCCTGGCATGACTGAGAACTTGGTTTCTGTTGCTTTAGGCTAAATCATTAGTAGCTTTGAATATGCCTCTGCTGAGTTGTGGCTGACTCAGAATGATAAATATCTGTGAGCCTCACCATTACTCCCATGAAACTTGAAAGTCATAAAGATGTATGCTGGGGATGTATACTTAGTACATAAATGTGGAAGCAGTTATTAAATACTATGGTGAAAAACATTCTTCTTTCACTTGATGAGGGCATCACAGGTAAGGAAGGTATTTAAGTGCCATGCTTTTTAAATGCCTGTACAAATTGGGTATCGCTGACAAGGGGGAGCCCTGACGTGCTTGATGCTTTTTAATGATGTCTATATAAATCACTCCCCCTCATTGAGTATCAGATTAATGGACAATGTTGTTAACATGCTTATCTTGAAAAAACATAATTTTCTAAATTTTTCATCCTTTAGTGAGTAAGCGGCTTGGGTGAGAATCTGGCTCAGTTCATAGTGATATGTGAGGAAAAACAAACTAAATAGGACTAAAATATAAAAATAGAGAAAGACATTACATTAGTAAAGATTAGTTCTCTGCAGTTGCTCTTCTCTGAAATTCACTGTTTTCAGAATGGACATCCAAGAGATGAATAGGTTAAAGATTACATAGTTAAATCTAAAAACCATCTCCTTAGAATGTGACTCTCAGACTTTTATCCCCAAAGGAGAATTTGCTTATGTATAAAATTTCCTAATTATAGAACCAACACATGTTCATTGTAAACGTTTTAGAAACCAGTGAAAAGTATAAAGAACAAAGCTGAAGTAATCTTTGGTGTTACCACCTAGAAATAAACTGAACATTTGGGTGTGTTGTATTGAATATATAATTTTGAATGTTCTTTTTATGTAATATAGTGAATATTTTCCATAGGATTAGTACTTATTTGAAATGTGCTTATTAGTGACTGTATAGTATTTTATCATAGGAATGTTCCATGATTTATGAAGTCATTGTCCTGTTAGCCATTTATGTTCTTTCCAGTTTTTAAAAACATAGATAAATTCTGAGATTAGTGGCTTTGTGTGTAACCTTTGGGTTCATCTGTATTCCCTTAGGGTTGGTTCTTAGAAGTAGATTTACTGGATCAAGGCTTATAAATAATTTAAAGAAATTTACATGTTGCTGAAATGTTTTCTAGGAAGATTGCTTCCGTTTAAGCAAAAAGCACGCACGTCTTCACCAGCATTGTTAAACTGTTTCCAGTATAATTAGTTGATTTCATCAGCCAGTCCTTCTAGGAAAAGGAAGGAACCTTCACTGAGCCCTGCTCTGAGCTTGGTCTCTTGACACCACCCCTGTGAGTTAGGGACTAGTCTCATCCCACTTCACAGGTGAAGAACATGCACAGGGTGGTTTTTGAAGGTCACTCAACCAGAAAATGGCAGAGGTTATTCAGGCTCAGGCTGTTTGATCCCAAAGTTTACTTTCTTTCCAAACTTCCAAAGTTTTTCATTATGTGATATTTATATTCATCATTGACTGTTCAGAGAACAAGTCTTGATTTTATTTTCTAAACATGACTGAGATTAAAGTCATGGTGCAGGTAATAGACTCTCCCACCCTCCACCTTCCCAGGAGGAGTGTGGAGGACACAGTCCAGGAGGGTTAACTCCAGGACAGTTAATAAACACCATTTCGGAGTCTCTCAAGTACTTCACACTCAGTGAGGATGTAGTCAAGTTCCGTTTCCTGCTGTCTAGGCCACACTGGGTAAGCAGCTACCTACACCCCTAACTGCTGTGGCAGCATGCACACATATTCATTATACTCCTAGATAAGGAACTTTTTAAAAAAGTTATTTATTTATTTTGACAGAGAGAGAGAGAAAGAATCCCAAGCAAGCTCCATACTGTCTGCACAGAGCCCCACACAGGGCTCAAAATCACGAACCATGAGATCATGCCCTGAGCTGAAGTTGGACACTTAACCAACTGAGCCACCCAGATGCCCCAAGATAAGGAACTTTGTACATAGATGGAAGATACTGTCTTCTGTATTTCACACAATCATGCAAAATGTCTAAAGAAAACTTAGAACTTTAGAGCATCAGAAGTAAACAATGGTATTATTATCAACAAGGAGAGATTTTTTTTTAACTTATTAATCAATGTTGTTTCTATCTAGTTCCAAGGGCCCCTTTGGAATCATTGAGAAAAGAAACTACTTCTGATTATTGGCTGGTTTCTGTTCCAGGTGTGTGAATATCCTGATGGAACCAAGTCCTTGAAGCTGGGAGACTTTGGTCTGGCCACTGTGGTGGAAGGCCCTTTATACACAGTCTGTGGCACACCAACTTATGTGGCTCCAGAAATAATTGCTGAAACCGGGTAAGACTCCTGGTGGCTTTGGTTAGTACTTGAATTTTGGTGGAAAAAGGTGTGTTTTGCTGCTCCGGCTGCTGTGTATTCACATTCCTCCTGGGAAGGTGGAGGGTAGGAGAGTCTATTACCTGCACCATGACTTTAATCTCAGGAACTGAGGTGTGTGCTTCTGTGTCCAGGAGCTCTAGGCCTGGACTTTTGTCCCAGGGCCAGTCTTGGAAATATGGCAACAGTTCCCAATGTTGTGGTTAGCTCCGGAGAAGAGTAGATGTCCCTGTCCAAAGGGCAGTTAATTCCTTTGTGTGAAATGAGTGGTTTGACACAGAGGAAGCCCTTCGTCATAACAAACAAAGGCAACTACTCCAGTAATTTGGAGGGTTCCTGGGAGTAATATCATTATTTCTTCCCTCCACCCACTTTGTTTTCTCAGCTATGGCCTGAAGGTGGATATTTGGGCGGCAGGCGTGATCACATACATACTTCTCTGTGGATTCCCTCCATTCCGAAGGTCAGTGGCTCTTTGAGTAACAATATCTGAATTGTAAACTCTCCCTTTGGTCAGGAAGCAGGCATTCTCATCCTGGCAATCAGGACCAGAATCTGGTCAATAAAAATGTCAGTTAAGGAGTGCCTGGGTGGCTCAGTTGGTCGGGCAGCCGACTTCAGCTCAGGTCATGAACTTTAAAAAAAAAAAAAAAAAATTTAAAAAAATGTCAGTTAAAAATTATATAAACATACCTTTTACTTTTTTTCTTAATTTACAACCTATTAATGGATATTCCTTGACCACACTTCTGATGTGAGGTCAAGGCCTTTGTTTGGTATATGGTCCTCTGAATTTCTTGTCACTCTTCTGTAAAACACACCAAATCATCCAATGTGTACAATATCCATTCTCAATCTTTTTCAAGTGGAGTGAGATTTAAAGATCTTTATGAAGCAGTCTGATCCTTCTAGGTAAACAAACCTTTTCCCGTTTTTTTTTCTTTCAATTTTTTTAATGTTTATTTTTGAGAGCGAGCGAGCAAGCAGAAGTCGGGAGGGGCAGAGAGAGAGGAAGACAGAATCTGAAGCTGACTCCAGGCTCTGCGCTGTCAGCACAGAGCGCAACACGGGGCTCGAACACATGAACTGTGAGATCATGACCTGAGCCGAAGTTGGACACTTAACTGACTGAGCCACTGACGAGCCTCCTTTTCCAGTTCTTAATAGTCATTTCTCCTATTTAATTTGACAGCAGGGTTGTTTTTTTTTTTAACAACTCACCTTCCAAAGCTTTCAACCTAGTTCTCATAGAAACAGTGAACTCTTTCTTTTTAAATTAATTCTATCTGTTCACATAATATTTCACATAATATTTAATGAAATTTAAATTAATTCTATATGTTCACATAATATTACAAATACTTTGAGCATAAATAGGCCTGGGAACAAATAGAGACTGATTCTTGGTAATCACATATCTCACCTGGGGCGGTGGGGGGGCAGAGGTGGCCACACACAGGTGTCAGAATGTGTGACAGCGGGCATAGAGCATACCCAGTACCCCAGTACTGTGAACATGAGAGAGTGTAGGGCTTTGGCCACAGGGCCTCTCTTGATCTGTCCCATCTCCCTCTTTGGAGCAAATGAATGACTTGGGAATAGAAGTTCATCTAATGATGCAACTCGGATTTTCTTATGTATCTTCTTGAGCTCTCTTTTCACTTTAATCTCTGTTATTGTTCATTTTACAACTACTGTTGAGTAGCTACTGTGTGCCAGGCACTATTCTAGGTGTCAGGGATCAAATGTAAAGCATATTCTCTGATGTCTTATTTATGGTGTTGTAAGTTCAATACATTTAATTTGCTGCCTCTCCCCCAACATTTTATTATAAAGCTTTCAAACCTACAAAAAAGTTGAAAGATATATCTTTTTTAAATGATAATTTTCAATTGATTTGAACAAGTTTTCTTTTTACTGACATTACAGTAAACACAAGAGTGACACAGAGATGTCAATTTCTACTTTTGAGAGCCTTATGGTGTAAAGACACCCATCACCAGAATATTGATCAAGAAGAATAAATTGAGTATGAGGGTATGCTTATTTCAGGGCTGGAAATCACAAAGGTTAAGTGAAAGGTAGAGCATTTGAGTGGGACCTTGTCCTTGTGGCTAGGATTGGGTTTCTGCAGTGGGAAGCTCTTGCCATCTGGCCGTTAAATCATGGTCTTCCTTCAAAGCCATTGCTTAGGTGGGTTACACAGACTATAGGATTACTGCACTATTGGCCAGCTTTTGCTGAACAGTTAACTACTCCAAAGGTTAGAGCTGTCAGTCAGTTCTTTGGATTTATTGGGCAGTTCTTCTGATCTGGGCTGGCTAATTGGGACTTGATGGTTTAGTGAGGCATCACTCACACGCCTGGTAGTTCGCTCAGGATCAGCTGGGACAACAGATAAGACTTGGTCAAGTGCCTTTCAGCATTCAATGGGCTAACCTTGGTTTCACATGATGGTGGATACAGGATCCCCAAAAGCAGCCAGAGAGGGCAAGTTCCTTTGCTCAACCACTTTCCAAGTGTCCACTTGACACACATTTGCTGATTGATGTCCCATTGACCAAATGAAGTCAAATAGAGTAAATGTGAGAGAAGATTAAGCAGGTATGTACATGGAGTGGAATAATTTGTGGTCATTTTTACGGTTCCATTGTGTTCTGGCTGGTTTTAGTGTTGATTTGTTTGGGAAACTAGTTAAGTGAAGGGGGTAGTTTTGTTGCCAAGTGATCATGGGGCCTGTTATAGCAGAGTTTCCATCCTTGGTTAACCCAAGTTGAGATCAGTTGGAAAGGGGTTATCAGGGATCAGTTTAGAGGAATGTGTGCTCACAACTCCCTCTAGTGTTTCCACATGCCAGTGCAGTCTGTGGGTTTGTTATTTGATTTTGCTTTTTGCTTTTAACCAAAAGCGAGACTGAGACTCAGATTGAACAGTATGTATCTATTGTGACTTGTTTCTCACTGCATGGCAGCTTCTTTGTGGGAACTGGAGGTAAGTATGTGGCTAATTAAAAGCAATAAAGCTACCTTTTGAAAGCTGTTGACTTATATGTTATATTCAGAAGCTGGTCCTACAACCACGGTATTAGTTATTGCCTAAGCAAGTCTGATCTTGGGGCCACTGACAAAACATATTTGCATGATAATTTTGTTTTTCTGAAACATGCACTTATACCTCCCATAAGCTAAATGTTTAAACATCATTTTGTGAGGTAGCTTACAACATTTTCAAGTTACCTCATCAGACAACTGTTTAACAACTTGGCATTGAAAAGAAGGAATGTGCTCAAACTCCTGTTGCTTTCCAGGTTTTTCTTAATGTACATTTTTAAACTTACAGCACCTTGATCTATGAGCTGTATTGTTTTAAGATTTTAAAGTGCCCTGAACATCTCAGCCCAATTGTGGAAGTATAAATGTGTAAATAAGTCCAGTGTAGATTTAATCAGAGTGGCTTTTACTACGTGACTACTTAGAAGGATAAATTAGCTTTCTGTTCTTCTACTGAGGGAAGCTTGAAATGCTCAAAGTGCTTGCAGTTCACAGCATGGATCCTTTAGGTGACTTCTTATTGCTGGGACCCCCTAGGCTTTTGTTTGTTGACTCAGACTATTTTGCCAAGAACCTAAATAACTTGCTGCAGTTACACTTCCAACTTTTTAGCTGTTTATGAACAAAATAAAAGTCCTGTATGTTAACAAAATATAAGCTGTTTGCTATTCCAGGAAAAAAAAAAGAAGATGAGTAATAGAGAGGGGTGGCTAAAAGCAACGGTTCTGGAAATGGGTGATTTTTAACATCTTTTTCTAACATTTTCTCCTGGAGAGTTGAGCTGAGTTCAGTCAGTAGGGAAATAACAGTGAAAAAGAAAACATCAGACAACCTAGAAAGAGTTTGTGCAGGCTCATAGAGAAACACTTTCCAGGAGGGCAGTGGGAATCGCTTGCCTTACCTGGTTGTCTGGCCTGACTTTTGCTACTCATTCGATGTGCCTCTTGGCCCAGACTTCATGAACTGGCAGATGTCAATTCAGCTGGGCTTGTTGAGATGTCCTGAGTATTCACAAAAGCCCACAGACTCTGCAGGCCTACCTTGGAGATGTTGCGAGAGTGGTTCCAGACCACCGCAATAAAGCAAATACCACAGTAAAAGCAAGTCCAATGAATTTTTTGGTTTCCCAGTACAAATAAAGGTTATGTTCACACTGTACTGTAGTCTGTTAAGCGTGCGGCAGCATTATGTCTAAAAAAACAATGTGCGTACGTTAATTAAGAGATGCTTTACTTGGGGCGCCTGGGTGGCGCAGTTGGTTAAGCGTCCGACTTCAGCCAGGTCACGATCTCACGGTCCGTGAGTTCGAGCCCCGCGTCAGGCTCTGGGCTGATGGCTCAGAACCTGGAGCCTGTTTCCGATTCTGTGTCTCCCTCTCTCTCTGCCCCTCCCCCGTTCATGCTCTGTCTCTCTCTGTCCCAAAAATAAATAAACGTTGGAAAAAAAAAAATTAAAAAAAAAAAAAAAAAAAGAGATGCTTTACTAAAAAAAAAAAAAAAAAATAGTAGAGGTCCCTGGCTGGCTCAGTTAGTGGGGCATGGGACTCTTGATCTCAGGGTTGTGAGTTTAAGCCCCAGGCTGGGCATGGAGCCTATTTAAAAATAATAATTAATAATAATAACAGTAAAATAAAAAGTACTTTATTGCTAAAAAATGCTGTCATTTGAGCTTTAGTGAGTTGTAATCAAGGATCACAAATCACCATAACTAACAGATTAATGATGAAACAGTTTTAAATATTGCGAGAATTACCAAAATGTAACAGATGCAAAGTGAGCAGATGCCGTTGGAAAATGGTACTGATGGACATGCTCCCTGCAGCATTGCCACAAACCTTCGCCTTGTAAAAAAAGAGTACAATTATCTGCAAAGTACAGTAAAGGGAAGCAGGAATAAAACGAAGTTTGCCTGTCCTCTTTTTCATTAAAGGTGTAGGGTAGTCACATCACACAGCCCCAGAATTTGTCCCTAGGCACTGCCCCAAATGACCTGTTTCTGTGGACACCACACTTGCTCACTCTGGGAGAGCAGTTAGCATGACTAGGCTTATGTCTAGAAGGCCGGGTGGGGTCTCATGTGAGTCCTCTGCACAGCAGACTGCAGGGGCCCTGTTGGCAACTCCAAGGCAGATGGTGCACGCTGAGACTGGGCTTCCACTCCTGGATTTTCATCTTGACTCCAGCGGCTTACCCTGAGGTTTCCACTAGGGCTTTGTAATGAGTGGCCTAGAAGGCTAATGATTTTGTTTTCGCTCAGCCGTTGATGCACCCACCAAGTAAGGGGGAGGTGGGGCTCTGTGGCTGTGGCTCTGTGTTCCAGGAGACGGTGACATCCAGCTTCCCGAATGTTTCCCAGCAGTGTTTTTACGTTTCTGTGTACCTTCCCTCAAAAGTCAAGGCATTATGTTTCAGTAGGCACCAGCTGTATGTGCAGGAGCACCTCTGAGGGTAGCGCAGTTAGGTACGGCTGAGGAAGGATGCCCACCCTGGGAGGGCAGCAACATCACTTCACCTCAGTCTGTGTGGTTCTAGTCGCTCTTCTTGGATGGGCTCTTTTTTTTTTTTTTTTTTTTTTTTTTTTTTTTTTTCAGATTGAGCTTAAGTGAAAGTCAGGTTCCAATGGGGAGCTAATTATGTCATGAATATTTTATCCAGATTCTGGACTCCTTATGACTCTTTCATATCTTGGCTTGTTTCACTGCTCTTGGCTCTTTTATTGGAAAAGTAGAAAGAGGAAGCGCAAGGAGAGCTGACTCAGGTTTGTTACTTTTCCACTCTGATCGCCATGAGAGATTAAGTGAGGGCAGATGCCGAGATTGTTTTTTTCTGAAATGAGGATTTACGTTATTTGTGGATTCCATATTTTTCTTGAGTCCTTTTTTTCTTTGGCAGAATATATACATTACCTTTTAACCATTTTTAAGTTTACAATTTTTGTTAACATTTACTTATTTTTGAGGGACAGAAACAGTGCAAGTGGGGAGAGGGGCAGAGGGAGACACAGAATCTGAAGCAGGCTCCAGGCTCTGAGCTGCCAGGGCAGGGCCCAATGCGGGGGCTTGAACTCACTAACTGAGATCATGACCTAAGCCAAAATCGGAAGCTTAACGGACTGAGCCACCCAGGTGCCCCTAAATGTACAGTTTTAATGGCATGAAGTACATTCATAGTATTGTGCAGCCATCACCACCGTCCGTCTCCAGAATTACTGCCTTTTCTCAAGCTGAAACAAGTTTCTTGAACCTTGTGTCCTCTCTTTCCCTGATACCCAGGCCTATGGATATGTTCTTTATCTCATCATCTAAAAGGAAAAAATGTGTCATAACAAATACAATTGAGATATGAAATGCCCAAGCCAAGAGACTGGACTCCTCACCCCATTCTTCCTGTGAGCATTTTGTTGAAAACTGTATGGTAACTTTGCTTTTTCTTCTATTTCTTTGTCACTGACTTAGTGAGAACAATCTCCAGGAAGATCTCTTTGACCAGATCTTGGCTGGGAAGCTGGAGTTTCCAGCCCCCTACTGGGATAACATCACAGACTCAGCAAAGGTACCCATCTGGGTTTGTTTCCATGGGTTACGTTGTGTCAAGGGGCCCTCGTCTGCCGTGTGAGGCTGTTGCAGCTCTTGGAATCGAGCTCCAGGTCTGGCTTGACTTTTAATGTGTTTCTTCTTTAAGTTCATCCCACAGTATAGTCTCTGGAACTCGTAGGCACATTCTGAAGCTGGACTGGCTGTCTTCCCAATTTGCCCCTGCCACCCTCCTGCGTTCCTCTAAGCCCTAAACATGCGTTCTTTCATTTATTTAAGAAATATGTATTGGACACCCATCAGAATGTGGGAATGAGACATACTGACTTGCCAAAAGGAACAATACTGCAGTTTTTACACTGCGGGATGATGATAATAACCAGAACTCTTAGGAGAGAACATCTTGGTTTAATGTAGACCCAGGAGAGACCTTCTCTTCTCTCACACTGGTGCTGCCCTGAGGCAGCCGTGTCTGTGTGATTGCCTGGTAGGGCAGTAGGAATGTAGGTGATAATAGCTTCTAAGGTGAAATGGCTGAGCAGCTGTGTTGGCTGGTTCTTTGAAGTACTTAGTGCAAGCTCAGATATCTGTGTTTATGCTGGAAGTCCCCCACCTCGCCTCCTCTATACTCTTCTTTATTTCGTTCCAGGAATTAATCAGTCAAATGCTTCAGGTAAACGTTGAAGCTCGGTGTACCGCGGGAGAAATCCTGAGCCACCCCTGGGTGTCAGTAAGTACCCATGTTCTCGGGGAAGGAACATCTGTAAGTTCCGTGACCACCAGCCTGCTTCTTCACCGTGGCTTTTGCACATGCAGAGCTCTGCATCCAAGTTCCATGGCAGATGAAATGTCTGTTTTCTCTCATGAGCAAGTAGCATGAAGGTAGCTCTCTGGGAGAAGGCACTTGGCATGAGGATCTCGGAGTATTTGATCCTGCTCTGTGAGTGACCTGGGCAAGTCACTGTCCCTTTCTGGCACTCACTTTCCTCATCTACAAAATGAAAGGATTGGTTGGGATGCGCTCTCAGGAGCCTTTCAGCTTTTGCCTTCTATACTTATGGGATTTCAGAGTTTTCAGGATTTGCCCAGAGATGAGCATGTTTCAGACGCTGATCCCCATGTCTTTATGGCACATGGTCATAGGAGATCTCCTGCTGAGAGTAAGGAGGCTGAGACATAGTCCCTTCTGGAGCCTAGTAGAGGGGGTGTGACGTTGACCAGAGTTTGTCTGGGCTTGGTGGTACCTCTGGGTTTAGGGTAAATGTGATCCATTAAGTGGTGCTGGTGGGAGAGTTTGCATTTACCTTATTCCCAAAGACTCCATGAGAGTGAGGTTAATGTATTTAGCCATGGGCTTTTGCCTGCTTGTGGGGGAGTGGTGGCTCCCTGCACCCCTCCACTATCTCTGTGGGGTCCCACACATCCTGACATGAGGGTTCAGCCTCTCTGGATCCTGCCAAGTGACTTAGGTCTTGGACCAAGTAGCTGAGATGCCACATTTCTTTATGAGCGATAAAGACTAACAACTAAGTGAATTCTTGATCAAAATAATAAACTCTTCATTAATTTTGGTGTTTCCATGGGAGGGATCTGTACTAAACTCTGTGGGATTTGTGCCTTGGGGACAGAGTCTTAGAAGCCTGAAGAGTGTCTTCCTTCGTGTTCTCAGAGACTGGTGCTCTCTACTTGGCCTGATTGAGGCTTAAGGAGCAAAGGGAATGGCTTGGGGTCTTCCTGAGGACATAGGACTGCTAAACGGCAGTAATTGTTCCCCTAACCTTGTGGTGAAAATCAGTCCTGTTAGGAAGAGATGGTGGGGCGAGGGTGACTATTCAGGAAAAGCCAACGTAGACCTGAGAATCTGAAACCATTGTATTTGATTCTTTTCTGTAGGATGATGCCTCCCAGGAGAATAATATGCAAGCTGAAGTAACAGGTAAACTCAAACAGCACTTTAATAATGCGCTCCCCAAACAGAACAGCACCACCACCGGGGTCTCGGTTATCATGGTAAGTGGAAGGCACTCTGTTCTGCCCTTGGAAAGCTGAAGTGTCGGGCCTGACTGCTCGGTGGACTTTGAGTCTTTAGAAGTGAATAGCTGAGGTTCCCTCACATGGAAGTCCGCACCTTCCATGTTCCTTTGCTTTTCAAGATTGTCTTGGCACGTGGAGTGCACCCATCTGGCCGACTCCCAGGCCTCGAGTTCTGGGGTAGGGGGCTGTGCAGGTACTAGCAAGGCCAGCCTGATGGGTCCCGGCACCAAGGAGCCGCTGGCCCCTTCTCCCGGGCTCGGTGCCCTCCCTGGCAGCTGCTTCTGCTCTCCTCTCTGTTTCTCATCTGGAGAGGGCCTCCCAAGCCTGGCTGGGATTTACAGCCTAAGGAAGGAACTCCCTGCCTATTCAAGGCTTCACAAACACACTGTGTGAGGTATGAATTATTCTTTGAGACCAGGGGTAAGAAACCGCTAAAGTTAAACAAATTCCTTTAAAAAATTAGTGTTTTGTGGCTTTTAAAAGTACAGAACAATGTAAAAAATATATATTTGTGTTTTTGTTTTCAGGGTTAGAAAGATTTTGAGATGTCAGTAACAATGATCCCCATAATTTTTTTTAGGTCTTCCTTCTTTCAAAATGATTGTAAGGGAATTTATCTAAATGCATAAACACAACAAATAAACAGTGGCATTAAAGTAAGGAAAGAAACGTTAAGGTAAATTTAGCAAAAGAGAAAATAAAGGCAGAAAGAATAAAATTGAACTAGAAGTGCGGTTAGCTCACTCAACACCAGCTGTCCTGGCCTGAGTCCCTGCTGAAGTCGGGCCTGAAGCCCAGCAGTGAGTATGTCCCCTCCTGTTGTGGCACCAACACTGGGGGCCATGACCTCTGTTCTGCCCATACCGCTCACACGATCTGGGAGCAGGTGAGGGGTTGCCTTCTCCAGGACCTGGGGTGGCTTTGGAATCAGACTTTCTAAGGGGACAGGTGCCTGAGTTGTTAGCGGCTTGGCCACCCCTGACAGCCCCCTGGGAACCTGACAGCCAGTGATGGGCTGTCTCTACATTTCCAGCTTTCTTATCTCAGGACAAGCATCTCACCCTCTGGAAAGGTTCAACTTGTTTTCTACCCAACTAGAAGGAAAGCGGTTGCTTACTCTCTGGCACATTGTAGTCTAGGAACCTTTACTCAAGAAGATTCTGGGTCCATATAGAAGCTGGAAGGAATCCCTTCCCCGCCCCCCACCCCCACCCCCACCACGGAGAATACAGAACACTGTGGTATGTTTTGTTGGGTATCCACCACCTTAGCCCCACTAATGGTCTGCCGTTCCCCTTTCTCCCCCTGGAGCGGCTGCATTTACCTGGAAGCCCTCTGTATGTCCTCAGAACTCCTTTACTCCTTCCCTGCTAGAAAGCGTGCTCTCACACTGCTTCCCTCCCTCAGACAAGGCCTGAGCTTGCAGACTCGGTCTTTTGACATGTTGCAGGACATTGGGGTGCTCTGTGCCAAAGTAATGAGAAGGCCTCTTGAGTTGTGGTTTTCCTAACATTTTAGCAGCGTTCTGCTGAAAGCCCGGGAAAGTCAGAGTTGTCACAGAGTTACAGCTTAAACACTTTGAAAAGAACCATCTTGATTGACTCAACAGCATGAGAACATTTTTAAGCGATTCACCTACAAGAGCAGGCACTGATGGATGGGACGGATGGCAAATTACAGACTGGTCGCATGGACACCATAAGGCTTCTGCAAAATTTAGAGGAAATAAAACAGAAAATTGGCACACTTGACACATAATGAAGAATCTTAAGAATGTTTTTTAGGATCAAAATTTAATAGCTAGGTTAATTAAGCTTCAGAGTCTCCTAGAAGAAGGACCTTTAATGGGACTGTGCCCAGGGCTTAGGAGAGTTCTGCCATCGTTGCCTGGGTTACCTGTGGACTCAGCGCCCACACAGGAATCATGGGCCGACGCCTGTGGCCCACTAAAGCTCTGGAATGACCCAGCCCTTTACCTTATGGCCCAATATAGGCTCTGTTCTGGATAATGACATTTAGAGCCTCTCAGACAGAAGCTGTATCTTCCGGCTTACAAATGATAGTTTCCCATTTGCTATGAAGGAGATCAGTAGTCAAATTTCAAGCCCCTTAGCTTTAACTGGATGGTTGTATGAGTGAACAACCTTTATTATATCTGTAATCCCAGTGGTGGTTGTGCAAGTGGTGTTTTTATGTGTGTGTTCAGTTAATTTTGAGCATGTTGGCAGGGTCCCATCTAACCTCATGTTCCCTACACAACTCTGCAGGTTGTTAGGTCTGAGGAGCTGCTGAGTGGCATTATCACATTCAGTACCTACAGGAGAAATCAGTAAAGCTTGTCTCTGGAGGTACCAATTCTCAATGGCCAAAAAGCTGGCCTGTGAATTCGGGGCTTGTTCCCCAAAGCAGTGGCAAGAAGGCCTCCATGGGGATGCCATGCTAATCCTCACCCAACTGAGGACCTGGCCTGGGGCATGGTTGTGTGGGGGCAGCTGGTGGTGCTTCTGTGTTGTCATCCTCATCACCGCTACTATGTGTCTGTGTGTCCTGCCCTTGGGAACAGTTTTAAGTGTTTTTTTATATTAAGAGCAATTAACCACAAATGACTCTCCCTGGTATTCATACGTTCTCATAAGTAGAGTATGTGAGGGTAACCTCATTCCCTGCAGATACAAAGAGAAGTGGAAATAATAGTGTATCAGTGCTCTAAGGTCGAATCATCAGATAACTGTCCTGTGACCCATACAACCTTACTGTCTGTTGTCGCTCCTGGCATTCTCTCCGCCTTGGCCCCCCACCCCAAAGTCAGTGCCTGAGGCTCCCGTGAGAAAATTATAGGATAGGAATGAAAATAACAGCAAAAGAAAGTAAAGTTGATGCTATTGTCTGCATTTTATTTGACAGTTTGATTTGACAGTTTGAGAGACACTTCAGAGTTTCACTCTTAACCCAGTTGAGACTATGGGGGATCCTGAAGCAGAATTCTGGTATTCAAACATGCTGTGCTTAATCAGAGCAACTTCTAATTTGCAGCCCGTCTTAAATCTGCATGCTTGTCTCAGACTTTCTGACACCAGCGTCCAGCTCTTAGCTTCTTATCGGTGCGGGTCTCCTGTACGTACTGACATCCTTCTCAGCCAGCAAAGCGTACCCTTGGAAAACTTTATCTTAAAACTTTACAGCTTGCCCCACTGCCTGTCATTCCAGATCAAGAGCTGGCGAGTGCATAGCAGGAGGACGCCAGCAGCTCTCCTGCTCAGTGCTGTTTTTCACTTGGTGAAAAAGCAACTTTTTGTGAACAACAGCAAAGGACAAGTAACTCTGTGAAGGCTTTTGTTCTCTTTCTCCAGCTACGTGTCCAAAGATACATTTTTATCAGTAAGACAGGTGTGGAGCCTTTGGGATAAGAGAAGAGATTTATATTGGATTAGGCTTTGGTTTAAGACAGGCCTGTGGTTCTGAATAGCACTTGCATTTTCTTTGACTTGTCACTTGGTATAGTTAAAGGACAGTGCCTCTGCGGGGCAGGCTCCTTGTTTATCCCCCAGGGGGCACATCCCAGCCTCAGGGACGAGGCCATCTTGTGGCAGGAAAGGGAATTACAAGAAACCCTCATTTGCTGCATCTTGTAGCCAACTTGAGAAAGGATGAATTCACACGGAGGGCTTTCCCCCTCAGAGGGGATGATGTTTCTTTCAGGGGGAAATTTGGGAATGATTTGGGTTTAATTTGAGATAGACAAAACTGTTTCAGTCATGTTGCTTCTGTTTAAAGTAAGTCTAGTTTCTGTCCCTGCTTTCTCCTGCCTCTCCCGCCGCCTGCATTGCTTCCCTCTGACTAGGTCCAAGGCAATGGTATGTACTAACCGCACCGCAATGCTTTGTTCCGCTGCACACACATGGTCTCCTGACAGGAACAGAAGAGGAGCAATAACTGGGGAGTTACTGTCTCTGCTACCCAGGAGGGGCTCTGTGGTAGAACCAAGTGAATGCTGCCTCTCCCCATTTTCAGAGTGTTCACTGAGGCGTGGCTTGGCCTCCTCTCATACTAGGAACTTGGAAGCTTGTTAAAGAGCAATGCTAAGCTTCTGAGGGGGCTTTGCCACAGTTACCTGCTCCCCAGGTAATTGAAATTGTCCTTGGAAATTGCTGGCTATTCAGCGTGAGCTTGGAAAGGCCTGTGGAGAACCCTGTTTTACAGCTGACACCAGCCAGCCACACAAGTCTGTCTTAAAAGGTGCTGTTCATTCATATCTTCTCCAGACCTTTTTTTTTTTTTTTTTTTTTTTTTTTTTTTTTTTTTTTTTTTTTTTTTTTAAGAAATAAAGAATCTGTACTACATTTCCCCTCAGGGTAGTTAGATTACAAAACACCTCCTGATTGTTGTGCCTCTGAGCTAAAGGTGCCTGAGAACTGAAAGCACATTTGGAAACCCAGTGAGATGACAGCTCGGCTGGGTCTCACTGGACAAGCAAGGAAATGTTCAAACTGAGTCAGAGGAGGAGAAAAGATTAGGTCTTACCTCCCAGTGTAAGGTCAGAAAAGCAAGGTGATTTCCTCATGTTTGTGGCTGTTTCTGTGCTCCTTGAAGAGCTGAGCAGATTAAAAACTTCAGGGGTGAAGCACCTGGCTGGCTTATTGGGTAGAACACGCGATTCGATCTCAGGGTCATGAGTTCAAGCCCCATGTTGGGCATGGAGCTTACTTAAAAAAACAAACTTGGGGTATAACAAGATAAAACTGTCCAGAAAGACCAGAGAGCAGGTCAGGTGACCATGCAGGATGTCAAAAGGGGTAATGGTGCACGATCAGATTGCAGGACTTTTGTAGATTATGCAGACACTTGGGTTGTAAAGGGATTACTTATTTATATGACATGTGAGTAACTTTTCAACCTGTGATGAAGAACTTGCCTTAGAAAAGCTGTCAAAGCCCTAGTGTTCTTGTAGGGTTTGCTCATTGTCACAGGATTCTTCTGGGCTCCAGATCTGGGCATGGGAAGAAGCACTCAGAACTCAGGCAAGCTCAGAGCCAGAAAATAATTGCCTCAGGCTGCCATCCAGGGCCAGCTGACACTGAGCCAGGAGCAGGGGCCAACTGTGGCTGACCGCCTGGGGGGTTGGGGAGAAGGTATCCTCAGCCGTTGCTTTTCTCTTAGGCTTCTATTGGAAGAGAAGCTCGATGTTATTTCTCCTCTTCTGTTTCTGAGCCCTGTGCATGCTCTTGTGCGCTCCTGTCGTGGTAGCTATGACCCAAGCCCGGGCCGGGCTAATGTGTTGTTTCTCCACTGGTTTCTCCTTAGAACACGGCTCTAGATAAGGAGGGGCAGATTTTCTGCAGCAAGCACTGTCAGGGCAGCAGCCGACCGGGGATGGAGCCGACCTCTCCAGTCCCTCCCTCAGCTGAGGAGCCCCCCGTGTCCGCACCGGCAGACCTGGCCCCCGCCCCTCCAGAGTCTCCCACACCCCCTTGTCCTCCTGCTGCCGAAAGCTGCGAGCGGGCAGGGACCTGGCGCCGCCACCGCGACTGACCCCGGGCGGACAGGCTGGAGCCCACTGCGGCTGGAAAGCCCCTCTTGTTGGGCCGCGGCCCTCTCGTTGAAGAGCCTTTCTCTGCTGACTGCTGTTGGGAAGTTTGCTGGCACCTCTGAGGGCTGCCAGGATCCAGGAGCTCGATGCCAGGGATTTGCTTCTTTTCATAATCTGGGCTCTGCCTGCCGGTTCCTGGAGGTGTCCTATGCAGTGTTAGCTGCTGTGACAGATATTCGGAGTGGCTCGTTTTAAATTGTTTTCAGTTCAGTGGACATTTTTGCAGTGTCACCAGGAGAATGTGCAACTTTTATCTGGGATTTAATGCATTTTTATAGAAACACTTTGGATGAATCAAGCTCTCTCCCTATTTAAGTAAACTCGGAGCGTTCCTTTTTTTCTTACGAACAATTTAGAACTGCATTTGTCCCTTTGTGGGTGTCCTGTCAGAGGTGGCGTAGCACCTTCCTCTGCCAAGGGGGTTCGGAGGACTGGCGTTCTGATGGAAGAAGTGAGCACCCGAGAGGACAGTCTGGTCATCGGACACTAATTCAGACTTTGAAAAGTGGTTCCAGGTGCCCGAGGAAGCAGTCCACCGTTAGCCTGGGGCGCTGGGCTCACCTAAGACAACACTGGATATTTATTTGTATACAGACCACAGGGGAATGTCACTTTCTTCCCTAGACAGTGTGCTCTCCCCCAACTCTTCCCACATATGTATTAGGAGACGTTAATGGAGTCGTCCTTTGGGCTTTTTCATGAAAGGCGTGGCGCATGCGGCAACCCCCCCGGGCCAAGTGGTTTCTTCTCAGCAAGCCGGCTTCTAGCAGAGCACGGTAAACTAGGCATCTGACTAGCCACCGCAGTCTCTTTCATCATCTGCTTGTCATCTGGAGCTGGCCGGAAACAACTGAGGAAACATAGCCCGAGGCACAGTCAGGACCGGGGCAGGAAGGTGCTCCACAAACATCCTCTGTTATTAACCTTCTGGAAGGCTGCTGGCAGTTTTTCCTTTTTTCCCCCACTACCCTGCCCTTTTTAATAATTGTACATAATCAATGTATTTGTTTTACCTGCTCATCTTCTAAACTGGGGGGCCCTGTAGTTCATTCTCATTGTTAGACTTTTGCCTCTTATAAGTGTACCCAACCTGCAATAAACCCTTCTTGAGGAAAAAAGTGATGGGGGTGGGCAAAGGATTGTGTGGTGTTGTTTTGCAAAGGATGTGTGATCAAAGCACACTTCCTTGGCCTAGGTTCCATGTCCTTTTATGAAGTTTTGGGTGAGGAGTGGGGAGGGAGAATGATGCTTGGGAATAACACATGAAAATGCATCTTGGTCAAAGTGTATTTGCTAACAGGTGCACACACCTGCAACAAAAGCTCAGGAATAAATAGGGATTGTTAATGTATGGCAGAGGAATCTTATGGAGCCAATGGCAGGAAGGTCAGGCTTCACAGGAAATAGGAAGCAGGGCAGCTGCTCCCCAGTCTCCTTCTGTCTGTCACTGTCTCTGACTCCGAGACTGTGCATTCTCCTGTCTCTGCTGCTCTGGGTGCATTTTGGCTCTTGGTTCTGTTCTCTCATAACTCCTGCTTGCCTGTACCTCTGATGTAGCCCGGTGCTGCTCTGTCCCCAACTTCTCAAGGCTGTCCAACTCCAGGCCTTGAGACCATCTGCTTCCACTCTAGATCTCTTAATTCACATTGCTGAAGGAATGAGACTATCTGACTGGCCCTTCTCCCTGGGCTGGTGCTGACTCATGATTCAATCCAGCGGCTGGTTACAAAATGCAGATTTTGCCTCCTGGGCCTACAAAGGCAGCAGGTATAGGCTTCAGGAGGAGGGCAGTTTCAAAAAAGCTGTAATGTATAGGTCTAGAACATTTTGCTTGTCTCTGGCCTCGCTAATGAGTTAAAGAGCAAGCTTTTTCATGGCTCCCAGTGGAGATATTTTTGTTAATGAAAGAGAAGAGCTAATGTAAAGGAAAGAGAACATGGAAATAGTGATGGAGCATGGCCTCTGGCAGTGATCAGAGCCTGAAACCGGGGTCCCTCTCTGGAACGAGGTTAAAAGGCATTTGCTGACCACTTCAAGTATTTGCCAGGGAAGTGCTGGTCACTGGTGATAAGACGAAGGAGTGTCTTCTGGACAGCACGTGCTCCCATCCTCTGTGTCACCCTCGGATGGCCTGGGACATGGTGGGGGAGGATGGCCTAGAGACACGAAGTAGCATGAGCAGGTGGGGCAGCACAGCCTAGCAGCTCTCCTGTAATTACATGAATCCCACAAACACCTGGAGAAACGATGAGTGGCAGTGAAGGGGCAAACCAAGCCGTTGACCGTAACAACGCAAGTCACAGAATTGGTGGGAGACAGAGTCACCGTGCAGTTTTAGGTTCTTCCATCTCCAAATCTGTGCTCTTTGGAGGAACCCTGTCCCACGGGGACAAATCAAGGCCCGGGTGTGAATGGTCATCTAAGTAATGATCCTAAATAAAGGCCCTGACACCACAAGCAAACTGTTCATTTGCCCATGTGTTTAGAAAACATTTGTTGAGCTCTTCTTCTGTTCTCAGAGTCCAAATTCAATACAGGGATGTAATTGCTAGGTTCCTCTGTTCCTGCACAGTGAGAATGGCATGTACTTGTTTGATGTTCATTCCCTTACTCCAGCAGGGGATCTGTGTCTAAAGGATTTGACCTGTGAAGGGGTAGAAAAAGGGAAGTGGTGACCTGCTGAAGCCACCGTGGGGTGCCTGCTGGGCTCAGCAACTGCCCAGGGGTCAGGGAGTGCGTGTCTCTCTCTTCAAAAAGGTTGCTGTGTTATGGAAGTATATGGAATACATGGATTAAAAACATTCGGTAAAGCTTCCAGAATATTTTCATGGATACAACTGTGAAATGTGAATTTGAAAATAAGATCGTTGAGAGCAGACCGTACGGGACAGGAAAGGGAGCTAATGATGTTGGTGGGGAAAGACCTGTGGAGCAGCGCTGCCCCCTGGAAACACAGTGTAAGCTGCCTCATTTAACATTTTCTGGTGCCACATTAAAAAGGAATGGGTGAAATTAATTTTGTAGTATATTTTATTTAACCTAGCGTGTCTACAGTATTATTTCCACATGTAACCAAAGTAAAAAAAAAAAAAAAAATCTTTG